TGGTCCGCATTGGATAACTCACGCTCTACAATCGCCTCAGATTGCCGACGGAGGTGGTCAACCTCCGCATCTTCATCGCATGACGAGTAATCGTCGTCTTCCTCGGCCGTGCTGCTGGGTACGAACCCCCAAATTGGGTATGACCCTTGGACGACGCGGTGCTTTGGGACCACGGTTTGGTCAAAAGGATCACGTTCGTTCCCGTAGTCGACCATGTTGATGACCCTCGTCAGCTAAAAAAAAAAAAAAAAAAAAAAAAAAAAAAAAGTCAGTCGCCGAATATCGAACATTTCCACCACCTTGACGCATGATTGCAACATACGAAGTCCGTCCTGCCATCGGGGTACCAGCGCATTTTCGTATTGTTCGGGCCGTCATCTTCAATATCGGATGTGAGTTCAGAGGTAAAAACGATCTCGGGGTTGTCGAACAATTCCTTGACGGCATCGTCGTCTTCTTCAAAGTCGAGGAAGTGGATCTCGACTTTGCCCTTGTCCAAGTACTTAAATTTTTGCAATCTTGCGGCGGCAATCTAAGTGAAAAAATCAGAAAAAAATCAAAAAATTGATAAATGACTTACATCTCGGCGCTTCTTAACGCGCGTTGTCGCTTCCGCGCTGGCTACACGCGCGAGTTCCTCCGCATTGTTGTTTTTGAGGGCATTGAGCTTGCTCCACTTGGACCGCTCTTCGCGATGCCGACGTTTCAGCAATTGCTTGATCAAAACATCCGACCACATGGCCGCACCACTGGCGACGTTCTCCTTTTGCACAAGTTGATGAAGATTCCTCGCCAAATCCTGATTGACCTTCGCTGAAAAAAGCTTTGAGCCGTCCCAGCTCACTTTATATATACTCATTGCGTTTTTGATTGCGCGCTAAAGAATAATAAGGGTTCAATACTTGTTGTCAAACAAATGCGAGCAACCATACTTACAGCGATTTCGATCATGGCGATATTGCGCTTCTCAGTGCGTTCCACCTCGTCGTTCAATTCGCCATTGACCAGTTTTTTGAATTGATCCGCAAGATCGTTGATGCGGGCACTCTCGACTGCCAGGCTAGTCTTGAGCTCTGCCAGACCATCGGTGACCGCCTGACCGACGCGATGTACCGTTAGCGCGCTGTTGTTTATGGCTCGGTCAATGCTTCCTAGCCTATTGGCCATCGTTCGCACTTTTTCGTCTAAATCGCGAACCTTGTTCGCAATGGGCGTCGATGTGGACGCCGTCTCGGGTCGGGCTCTTTTCCTGTTGGGTCGCACCTCTGTGGGTCGTTCTTGTCCGTTGTTTGTCATTGAGCAGTTGCTTGGAATGATGAAAAAAGTGGAAAAAATCAGCATTTCTTTTACGATTGCACTTTATATAATGCATTTTTGTGATGGTTCGTCGTACTCGGTACCCAATCGTGGTTTCTTAGCACGTTGCGTTTTAGTAAAGAATGCAGCTATGATATAACGAAGATCTACTATATAACACAAGACCTAATAAGATCAAAGTGGAATGAACATGCTTCGCTTTGGGCATTCTTGTCATCATGGCTTTTGGAGCGCATTAAAATCACGCGACAAGAGCTAGAGGAATGAACATGACTGGCTTTGGGCATTCTTGTCATCATGGCTATTGGAGCGCATTAAAATCACACGACAAGAGCTAGTGAAATGAACATGGCTGGCTTTGGGCATTCTTGTCATAATGGTTCTTGGAGCGCATTAGAATCACACGACAAGAGCTAGTGGAATGATTATGGCATGCTTTGGGCATTCTTGTCATGGCTCTCGGAGCGCATCATAATCACAAGGCAAGCAAAAGAAAGTTGTTATTCCAAAAAAAAAAAAAGTGCTGTTTTTTCTCTTTCACTTTTTTTTGTCGGCTTAAGTTCAAAACACGGACAAGAGCACCAGATTATGCTAATCGGTGGCGCCTTTGACCCGTTTTTTTGTTATTATTCGTCTTTTAACAACTGTGGCGTCTTTTGACACGCTGTTTTGTATCAGTGTGCGTGTTTTCACTCGTTGTGGCGACTTTTCTTTTTTTTTTGTACAAACATGCATGTTCATGAGCTTCTTTGAGTTGTGACTACGAGTAAAAACTCGCACACTGATACAAAACAGCGTGTCAAAAGACGCCACAGTTGTTAAAAGACGAATAATAACAAAAAAACGGGCCGAAAACGTCAGTGATGTAGGAACAAACACGAGTGCAAGATTCATTAAACAAAATAATAAAAACGGAGCCGGGCATGTGAACTTCAACCACACCTTGTGCAATCTCTTCTATTATGAGACACTGTTGTTGCCCATCTAACACTAAGTAAAGTAAAAAAAAAAAAAAAAAAAAAAAAAAAAAAAAAAAAAAAAAGAAAGAAAAGATTGTCATGTGGCACGGGCCCTGAAATATGAAGGGAAATGGCAGAGAAACCGATTCGAAGCCAAAAAAGTGCCGGCAACTTAATCCGGCGCGCCAAAATCACGACGAAATGACTTTAACTCCGAAAATGGCCAGAACGTATCCGAAATCGCGCCGGAACTTTTGTTCTCGGCTTTCCCAAATCGCGCCGTCATCGAGCTTTAACTCCGGTGAAAAAAATCCAAATTTTCTGGGATTTGATGTTGTGATTGATCGTGAGAATACCGAAGCCGCCATAGCACAGTTGGCAGTGCGCGTGCCTAGTAAGCACGAGGTCCAGAGTTCAAATCTCTGTGGCGGCATCCATTTTTGCTCGCCTTTTCAGGCAAGCAAACTCTTTTTTTTTGGAAAATGCAAGTAGGTAAACGGCTTGTTCTACATTGTTTTCGAAGCTGTTGAGAGTGCTGATCGTTTTTTATGTCTCATGGTCTTAAGGTCACTGCACAGGGCGCGCTACACTGCGAAAAAAACTTATACTGTAAACATTATTCACCTTTTTAAAAACCGAAGAGCGCGTTTTTCATGTTTGCCAGTATGCTGTGCGCCTGTGCCTCCAGAAATTTTTTTACAGCCTACTTGCCCGCTAATGAAATCTGCGTCACGGCAAGAACTACAGCATAGTAGTAGTACTGTACTCGCGACGAGTCAGCCCGATTTTTTTTGAACTCGAAAATGCCAAAAACCTCCTATTGGTACTATTTTGCATTCATCTCGTCATCTGCATGGTTGACCCCACCACTCAAGAAAAGCCGCATCGAATTCAGCGCGAAATTTGCAACGAAAAAGCTTAAACCCCCAAAGCGCCACGACCACTTTTGAAAAATTCAGGGGTCACACTTTTCAATCTCAGAAAGTGCCAAATTTGGAAGATTTCGAACTCCGAGTGATCAATGCATCCCAAACAGGTAACTCCAGCAATTTGCTATTTGCACACAAAATGACAGTAACCCTCAAGTTACAGTAAGAAAAGTACCCAAAGAGTGATGCATGAACGGCGATCGACTGAGAAAAGTGCCTACTTTGGCCAAGATCTTCTTGCAAGAATTTAAGGTTTGAGACTTCCAAATTAGGTGTGTGGGTTGCATGGAATTTTTATTTTTTTCTATTTTTTTGTTTGCATATTTTTTTTACAGTACCGTACTGTATGCGCTGGACGGGAGGATGGCAAGTCGCGGGCTGCTGGTCAGCTGGTGAATTGACCAAATGACCGATGCAAAATTTTCAAACCCAAGTTAGCGCGCTGCAAGTCATCCCATTAGAGGCTTTGGTCCCCTGTTTGTTCGTAAATCTGGGATACGTAAAAATTGGGGGTTGACCAGGCCGTTCAGGAGCAAATGTTTGGCCATTGCCAAAATTGATACAAAAAGCTGTTTTCTCTGTCATTTTTGCTTGGATCGCGGTGAAACTGGATTCATCACTGGGAGAGATTCAAAAGATGCTTTCGACATGTTAAAAGCTCCGGGGATCATCCTTTCCGTTGTCGAGAAAAATGAGCGAGTTTGAAACTTTTTCATATGTTTGATTGAATTTTGCCAGCATGTTAATAATGTCGCTCATCAGGCAGGCAAACCGTCTGAAAATGACGCCAGAGTTACTGTATTCTCCTCGCTCTTTCGAATGATACAGTACGTAATACCAGTTTGACCGCGATCCACAAAACATTTTGAAATCCAGTGCAGTGACAAAAATGAGTCGTTCTCTCCAATTTACATCGAATCACTGAGGAAATGCGCGCGCCATACTATAATAGAAGATGCACTCATGCACACGCAATTTTTGCACCTTTCATCACGCCACAGCATCCTGACTTCTGAGACTTTTTAACGAGCAAATGGCCTTTACTGTAAAGGTTTGATTTTCAGCGAGTGCGTATAAAATTCGTCCGTTGCTGCATTCCGAGGTTATGGCATGAAATCCCGAAAGCATCTCTTTCCAACAACAGTGTAATATTTGTTCATTTTTACTTGGATCTTGGATGGGCAATGGGCCAAAAACGACTAAATGATGATTTTCTCGACGATTTTCTTTGCGGTCAAGAAAATGAAATAATAATATAATAGGGGCTAAAAAGAGTCAGCGGGAGATATCAAATTTGTTGGGTTTTCATTAGAAAAAGGTGGTGCAATTTGCATTTTTTTTTGCGTTTAATCTGGTCTTGAAGCCGATTTTATGCGCACAAAGGTTCATTTGCAAAAGAGAGAGGCAAGCGGGCGTGGGAATCAGTGTCAAAAAGGCACCAGGTGGAGCATTGTGTGTTTTGTACGACAATGCAAAATCATTCCTCATCCATCAGCCGCTTACTCTTTTTTTTGGCATCCCTTTTTTTCTTCCTTCTCTTTTTCATCCCTCATTTTTTTCATCTTGCTCCACTTAGGATTGCATATATCACATGGATACCTTGCCGCCCGAGCTCCTGCGCATGGTTTTAAAGCGTGTCTGGGCGCGCGACATGCTTGAGGGGCGTCTTGTCAATCGAGCCTGGGCTCAAATTGCCAGTGAGGTCGTCTCAGACAACTTCATGGTCGATTTTAGCCGCCTACGACCTATGGTGCAGCACGTCAATGCCGGTGGTACCATGCAGCTTGTCATCAAGAAACTCTCTGTGGCCTTCCCATCGAGCCTTTGGCGCGATCATTCAGCTGCTGAGCGGGAAGCGGTGATGACAGAGAAATTTGTTCTACTCAACGACCTTTTCCCGTTTCTTGACCACGTTTCTGACCTTAAGCTCGTGGTGGACGCGCCTGCTTCCAATGGCATCCCTGCACACGACTCGCCATTCTTTGATAATCGCTATTTTTCCCGTCTCTGCCAGCTTGTCCGTTCCCCACAACTCCGTGTCATGGACCTCGATGCGACAGCTGTGGAGCTGCGCATGATCACGCCTCATCTGTCCACGTCTTTGCAAGGGATTTCCATTGAAAGTGTCATGGATCGCAGCGATTTGCATCTTGTCATCCTGTTTTTACGTCATCTGCCGCTCTTGTGTGATCTCCACGTTGCTTACATTGCTAGTGATCGCGTGGACAATCAGCCATTGCGTTCGTTTATTTACGGGTCCCTCGTCAACGAGCGCCAGAGCGTCCACATGCGCGAGTTACAGCTGGATTTCCTATTTCAGCAGCAGCAGCAGTTCGGCGAGCCACACAACGTTGTGGATTTGATCTATTTTTTCCTCTTCCTCATGCCCAATCTCGAGAGCTTTGAGCTTGGTCTTGCAATGTGGGACGAAAACGAAGAAAACGTCACTGGCAGCCTCAAGCCGCTTGATCATGCACGCCTTCCAAGCAATGTCGCCTGCCCAACAAATCTGTCGATCGACACCGAGATCTCGTTTGCGCCACTTTTGGATGATGATTTCACGGGTCCGTCCATTTTTCAAGCTGGTCAAGGCAGCCGTATGCTCGAATCACTGACATTGGACGGCAAATGCATCGCTCTATTGCCGCTGTTGCCTCTAGAACACGTCCATTCTCTTTCCATTAACAGCCAATTGACTTCATCAGACAATCCTCCTCCATCCCTGTCATCTCGCTTGACCCTCAACACCCCTCAATTGAAAAAGCTTCATCTCAATCATCTTCGCGTGCACTTTCCGGTGCTGAGCCCGCCTTTTCCCCAGATCAGCTCACTTCACCTCGACAGATGCAATTTTTCATCCCCTGACGCATTGGAGCTGTTTTTACTGCAGCTGCAGCTGCCCAAGCGCATGAATGTCAAACTGGAGACCATCAGCTTCGACAAGTGGAGATCCACCCGATTTGCCACGCCCGTCAGCCCATGGGTGGACGTGCTGCTCTTTGTGTTCGCGTCGTGCAATCATCAACATGCATCTCGCCAATGGCTGTCACTGCCTATTTTTGCAGACATGGTCAGCATCACGCGGCATTGCGCCCAAATCAATGAATATGCGCACGTTGCTTTGCAAGATGTCCAACATTCCACCGGTCCGATCGCAAAAGTCTGGCTGACGGACTCAAATGCCAAGGTCCCTCGTGCACTCTCCGACGACGACGTTGATGTCTTGCTTCAGCGATTGCAAAACCACATGGACCATGTGCTCAATGCCTCGAATCTTCATCCGCTGTCCTCCTCAGCCCTCGTCAACACTGCCTTTGATCGCATTTGCGTCTCTCAACGTATGACCGTTTATGCTTGCTCATCTTTTAGCAAATTCAATTTGACATGCATACCTACACACGGTTTTTAGCTTATCCCCATGGCTCCATGACATGATTATTACTCGAGAAAATTAAAAAAGAGCAAGTACCCCTCTCAAGTGACCACTAAAATGCAAGCGATTGGCGTTGTAATGGCAAAATGATCATGGCTGATGCGATTGAGAGAGAGTGCAGAGTGCCGCGATGCATTTGAACGAGTGCTTTTCCTTCGTGCACGCACAGGCATGTGAAAAATGGGGCATGTTTCTGTATGGATCACGTCAATGGCAATGAGTGACGCGTCATCCTAGCAACAATCATGAAAAGGGAGCAAAAAAATCGCGTAAATTTCCCTAGATGGCGCGCACCAAAGAAAACCAAAAGGAATCGCATGGCGGAAAACGACGCAAAAGAAAATAATCGTGAGGAATGATGACACCCAGATGCTCAGTCAATCATTTTATTTAGTGGTAATGTCGGTGCCTTTCTGCCTCATTGTTAAAGTGTAGCGGTGTGGCTGCCAACTTTGGAAAATGACAAAAAAAAAAAAAAGGAGGCGCGTTCGGCTTGAATTTCGAGGGTCGACACGCGTTTCTGCATCGGCTGCGCAGTGTGTTGCATTGAATGGCGTATGTGCCAAGCGATTGATACTTCATTGGGCAGCATGGGCAGCATGGACAGTGAGAAATTCACTAAAACATAAAAAAAAGAAGTGATCCCAAGAAGCCCCCTCTTTTTTTTTTTTTTTTTTTTTTTTTTTTTTTTTTTTTTTTTGCTGTTTCCTGACGTCAAAGTGTTTCTTGGCGCCAAAGCGCCTTTCAAAAGATAAAATAGTCCCCGATCTGGAGTGTGCGATGACATGGATCAAGGTTCTTGCTCTGCTTTTGTGAAGGAAGGGTGTGTGCGTTCTTTTTGGGCCCTTTTTTTTTTTAGTGGTTCTGGCATCCATAGATTGGTCCTGGCACCCATAGAGTGCTGAATCACTCTATGAGTTCTAGAATCACTTTTAAAAAAAAAGGTTGGACCGGTCAAAGTTCGTCTGGAGGTTTTCCCGCTTTAAGTTTAGAGCCATGTGGTCAGGCTCATCGGGAGAAACGCGTAAAATATTACTAGCAAAAACGAAACTCGAGACATCTCAAGACTGA